GGTATAGAAGTACAATAATTAGACTGAAACTGAATTTAATATTAGATATGTTTTCAACTTTAATTTAAAAATTGATATCAATCTCAATTCTTTTTAAATTTAAACAAACTTCACGGTTATTTTATTTTCATATAAAAGGTAAAACCATTTGTTTTTATTTTTAGTTGATGTGAAATTGTGAACTACTGGCTTTGATTTTTTCTCAAAAACTCAATTAATTTTTTTAATAAGAAGTAGTCAAATTTAACTCCTACGACTAATGATTTTTGTATACATACTTGCTTAATAACTAATAAGTAAATAATTACTTGAAAGTTGAAACACATAACCCTAAAGATTACTTGGAGTTGAAATTTTCCATCCAAAACAGGCAACCTCTTCTTCATCCGTAGCATAAATGGAGTTTTCTTGGATCATAAGGAAATAAGAAGAACAACATAAAAACCCAATTGAGTCCGTACCGGGTTTCTTAGCATCAAAGCATTCGACTTCGAGGGAGGTCTTGTTCTTGAATCCACATCTCAAGTTATCTACCTCACAATCTTTGCAATTAGGTGAGTTCCACTCCAACGTGAGGCTTCGACTGTTGAGGTAACTCGAGAATCCTATTTCTTTGAACCGCGAATTAGCCCGAACATGCAATATCTCCACGATCTTACAAGAAGGAAGCATAGACTTTGCGAGATCAGAATTATTGGTGGCGAAGAAGGTGGAAGTTGAAGTGTTTAGGCAACGAATGGACGGATACCAAGACGGCGACACGACCTCATTAGGACAAGCCAACAACGTGTAGAACATATCATAGCGATGAAAGAAAGGAGATCCTGAAATATTAAAGGTTGATAGCCGTTTAGGCCAACAATTTTCAGGATCTTTGATATAAATCTGTTGGTTTATGTAGTCGATATCCTGGACAAGAAATGTTCCGGACATTGGAAGTTCGAGGACTGTTTTATTGAGATCGTTGCAATGGAGATTGAATCCCGCGTGGTCGCAGAAAGGGAAACGAATGGGGACTTCTAAGGGTCCACATCTAATTGGGTTTGAAGAACCGTTTCTAGGGTTTGAGGCGTGTCGGAGAGGGAAGAAGAGGAGGAAGAATAAAGAGAATATTTGTTTTGAGAATGTCATAATTTTGTTCGGTACTAATTAAGGAAGATGTTACTTCAAGGTGGAAGTTTAATTGACCATTCTCAAAGGAAGAGGAAAGTCAGACAGTCTATGTTTTTTAGAAGAAAACTCAAAAGGAAATAGTATACATGTTCTTTAAACCCAACTATCTTGGAATTCTAAGAAAAATAATATTTTACTACCAACAACTTTTTTAAAATGAAGAAAGTGTATATTTTAAACATACTCTCATCGCTTGAGAGACCCAAAAGAGTTTCTAGTTTTTGACACAATTAATCATATTTTATTATAATTTTGTTGTATAATTAAATTTTAGTTCAAAAATAAAAATTAGACCACTAATAGAGAGACAAATGTCCTCAAAGTTTCTCACTTCTCACTCATAAAAGTTTCTGATAATCGATTCTCGCCTTTTTTCTAGTTTCAATATTTTCTTTATTTTAATAGTGAAATACTTGGGAAGAAACGAACAATGTTTTATAGTTATGGGTTTATTTGTTGATATTTTCCAAATTATTAGATAGAATGTATTAGTTTTCTTAAAAAGAAATTAAATGACATAAAACCAATGATTGGATCAAATCCATTAGTATCCTCTTCCTCTCTCGTGAATTCATAGAAAGATTCATATATAAAAATTAACGGAATTCATTACAATTTACAACATTGAAGTACTTCATATTGTAAGTACTTCTTTAGGCGTGTGTTTTTCGACAAAGAGGGCATGAACCATGAATCTTGAGCCACACATCAATACATTCCACATGGTAACAATGGTTACATTCCGGTATGAACCTTACGGTCTCTTTGCTCGCATACTCTGATAAACAAATCGGACATAAAATACCATTAGTCCCCGGAAGCCTTTTACTTTCTCCCAACTCCATTTTCTTGTATGAGTCTATTGTAGACTGGTCAAGACCCATCCTGACCATAGTCCCTCTTGGTTGCTGCATTACTGTTGCGGCTGTGATATCCTCATTATGTCGTATCGCGGAATCAAAACTTTGGGAGTTGTAAATGCGGATAAGGATACAAGTAGGAAAAATACTGACTGCTCCGATTAAGGACATGCTTATTATGAGTACTAATATTCCTTTGCTTAAATGACCTGCGAAATAATTAATGTTTCAAGAGTCAGTTTAAACCGTTAAAATAGATTGTTTAATTCAGATTTTGGGTTAAATTATTTATTTATTATGGATCAAATACCCTTTTATTGCCGCTAAGGTTTTTTACACAAGTTGATTCTAGCGTGTGGAATGAGAGATTGGGAAACTTCTGTAGTTGATGTGAAATATTAGAGTTGAAATTTTCTTAAAACGTAAATAAAATAATTAAGTAACCAATAGTTATTTCCTCATGTCAAATTTAAACACTGCTATGATTTTTCTACACTTGCCTAGTTCGTAAATAATTACTTGAAAAATCTAAACCTAAAGGGTTACTTGAAGTTGAAGCTTTCCACCTAAACAAGTTCATCCGTAAAATAATAGAGTACTAATTGTCTTGGATCATAAGGAAATAATTAGAACAAAAGAGAAAACAATTGAGTTCTAACCGGAATTTTTAGCACCATAGCATTTGTCTTCAAAGGAGACCTTGTTCTTGAATCCACATCTAGAGATATCCATCTCACAACTTCTGCAATTCGGCTCGTGCCATTCGAGTAAGAGGCTTTGATTGTTGACAGAACTCGAGAGTTCTGCTTCTCGGAAAGGCCAACTAGCAGGAACAGATACTCTCTTCACGATCTTGCAAGAAGGAAGCATAGACTTTTCGAAGGCAGAATTAGATGTAGCGAAGAAGGAGGAAGTAGAATTGCTTAGACAAGGAATAGATCGATTATACCAAGAAGGCAAGACAACTTCATTAGGACAAGTCAAGAACGTGTAGAGAATATCGAAGCAAGAAGAGAAAGGAGAACCTGAAAGATTGAAACTTAAAAGCCGTTTAACCAAACAGTTTTCAGGATCATTGATGTAAATCTGTTGTTTTATATAGTCGATATTCCGGACAAGAAATGTTCCAGACATAGGAAGCTCTAGGACTGTCTTATTGAGATCGGTGCAATGGAGATTAAATCTCGAGTGGTCACAGAAAGGGAAACGAATGGGGACTTCTAAGGGTCCACATCTAAGTGGTTTCGAAAAGGAAGAAGAACAGCTTTTAGGGTTTGAGGCGTGTC